GATTCAAAGACAGATAAGAACACTCTGTAGTCTCACTGGGTGGTAACCATTTTCATAAGATAAGACACATGAGAAAAATCAAAACTTGGAAAAAGTTGTGAAATTTGTATTTCTTTCTTTCTGCAAATTCTGTTTTATAAATATATAAATAGAAAGGTTGTTAAAGATTAAGCTTCCCATTTTCATGGGTATTACTCCTTTTTGTTTACACTAGGTGAAATATCTGCACACGCAACTTGTTATATATGTATATCTTTCTAAATATCGTTTCTACGACGTGGATTTTTATGGTTGCTCATGTGATTTTTTAACCAATTTCATAAGATAAGAGACACATGAAAAAATCAAATGTGAAAAAGCAAGATATGTTATTTCTTTTTTTTTTTATATAATCAACGATAGTAGCAATTCATATTGTATAAATAGAAAGGTTTGTTAGAAATTGAGTTTCCCTTTTTATGGGCAATTTCTCTTTTTGTTTAGTATAAGATAATACGTACAGACACAACTTGTGCAATGTCTGCAATATCGTTTTTGTATCGAAATATACGATATATTGATATAAAAACAACAAAAAGATAATATTAAAAAATGAGAGAAAATTAGAGATAATGAAGTGATTGGTCAATGAATTGGAATAGAAGGATCCAAATAAAAAGCAGAGGAGAGCGAAGAAAGTGACGGTTCATAAGATTATTTCCTAGAGAGATTTGACAAAACACTGTTACTTCTCTCTCTATCTCATGTTCTTTCCCCTTGATATTAGCGACGATCTATATAATATTTTTATAAATATAACAGTTAGTTGTGATATATGTGCAAATATATATCTTGTGATATAAATACATGATTATGGGTAGTAAATAAGAGTAAATATAAGAAATTTTTAATATTATAAAATTTTTATATTTATCTAAACTATTTTTTGATTTCTAAATATAAAATCTATATTATCCATATTTAGTAGATAAATATAACATCTCTTTTTTTTTTTCTTTTTCATCAATTCGAATATAATTAATATTATAAAATTCATATATTATCAACTATGTTACGACTTTCATTGCGTGATAAAGATTCAGTTTCTGTGTATAAACGTCATGTAGAGGTGTATGAACATTAAGAAGTCACGAGGCATTTATGTAACAATGTGAACGTGAATGTCAATGTAATTTTTTACAGATTTTGTATATTCAATTCGGATATTTACATTTTGGATGTAATTTTCTTCTACAAATAATATAACTTTTAGCTTAACAAGGTCTCTCTTATGAATACACATTTAGAATCATTAATAACCAAGTGAATGATCATAGAGCTTTTCAAATAAGTCAGTTACCTCATACCAAATAAAGTAAAATAATAAGTCAGTTTGGTCAAGTAGAATTACATTTTTTTCATGGAATTCTCTTGAAAAAACA